TCTGGTGACAGTAATTTGTTTATATCAAGGATTTCTTGCCAATTCTATTTCCATCTTCAACTCCAGAACAACATATTTACACCGTCCTTAAAATCTTTGCTTTGAGTAGATGTCTAAAGTTTTTATTTTTGAGTAGATCTCGAAAGTCTTTACTTTGAGTAATTGCAATGGTTAGCAAGAATATTGTTACTTTTGTGTATCTGTTGAAGATTTTTATTTCTAGTTGATCTTGGGGTAACTTCTGATGTACCTCCCATGTTCCTGGAATTGGAAGGGAAGCATGCTGTGTCTTTCCAATTTGAAACTGTAAGGATTTGATATGCGTTGCAACGCCGTAAGGTTATTCAAGAGGCAGGACCTCTGAATTTAAGCGTCCGTCTCTGAATGGACCTAGCCAAACGGTAACATTTGTAGATAAGATATGATAACATTGATCCATGTTGAAATAATTATGCTGGTATATATTATATGTTTAATCTTCAGGATTTGTTTCTCATTTCCTGTGAGACAGTGTGTGTATGTGGATGTGTATGCATGTTGAGGCCTCAGAACTATTTTGTCCAAAGTGTACTGAAGTAGAGAAGACACAATAGTTCTGAGGTGATAATGTGTGTATGTGTCTGTGTGTGTGAGCATGCATACGTGCGTGCATGGGCGAAAGTCATACAGCATGGATGTCAGTTTGGTATTTATATCACATTTGAGTCTACAGAAATGCCTGTTTTGTGTACATGGAATGTAATGTTTGACATTGAAGGATTCTATGTTCATGACGATATGTGGAAAATGGAAATAAAAGTATGAAAATAACAGTGTTGTGACTACTGGTTTTGTCAGTTCTTCTGATGGATACATTTGTTATGTTTTGAAACACCAGAGAGGTATACAGTGGCGTCCGCTTCAACAGAAATCTGCCAGACTGGGCTTTTCTTTGGTCTACACAAAATGCTCGAATAGAAGAACAAAAATCAGGGATTTAATTTTTGTTCGGTGTACTACAGTTGACAAGTTAAGCGTGTTTGAGTTTGGTTTAAACGGACTCCAGTGTAACTCACTTTTAGAAAAGTTACTGAAGCAGAAGGGAAAGAACTCAGACTGATGTCTGTGGTGTAGTGGTTAGATGCTTTGCTTTCACACCCAGGAGATCCCAGATTGATTCCCATATATAGTAGGGATAGGGAGAATTTTTAGAGTATTTCTGTCTTTCTGCTGGGATGTTGGATCCGTCTCAGCCCGGGTTGGCCCTGATAGACAGGGTTGAAGTCTGCCTCCTGAATGATCCTAATTGTGTCCATGTGGGCATAAAGTACATCTGTGTGTAGCAGTCCACAGACCCAGGTGTGGTATATTTACAGACTAGCCAATCGTCATGTGTGACACAGGACAGGTTCCAGCTGGAGGTCGGAACACGCGCAGAAAGTCTGTGTGTACAGGGAGGTTTTCACGTTTGAATATTAAAGTTAAAGGCTATTTGCCGGGATAACATCCCTTTCTCGGCTTCATGCCTGGGGGGAAATTTATGAACTTGAATTTCTAGAATGTGCCCTCTGACGCATTTATCAATGACAAAAACTATCTTTCATGTAGCGCATAGCCTTTATGTAGCACACAGCCTTCATGTAACACATAGCCTTCATGTAGCA